CCCCCCCCCCCCCCACGCAAAGGGGGCACGCAGACAAAACCTGACGGTCCCGCGAGCCCAGGATCTTGCAAAGGTGTACAGAGCAGTAACACTTGCGCAGTTACACTCCTCCTTTCCGTCTCCGTAAAACAGCAAAAGCACAGCAAACGAGGGGAGTTGTCCCACCCTGCTTTCTTCACACTAGTGTTGTGTTGCACATAATAAGCGATCGACGTCTGCATTCTCTATACACTGTAAGAGTAAGTACACGCGAAATCAGACCTTTTTTGGCTCAACAGCTCTCTCTATTGGCTTTTGTCACGTGCCTCCGACACCCTGTAGCCTGTATCCGACACCAGACGGCTCAAATAGGGTGGATGGCTGGGGAAGCTCATTTAGCGAAGCGGCACATACACATCCTCGACGAGTTGGGCCCCTTGGGCAGCAGGATGTCAAGGTCTATTTGCCGCGGTGATGCCCGAGTGAAGTGTATTTTTCTCTCCGTTTTCTTTTACGTAAGGTACAATTGCCTCGGGCAACCGTGCTGATTATCTAAGAGATCCCGGTATCATTTTGAAGGTGGTGTAGACAGCACAGACGAGACGAAGATTCGCAAACAAACAATCAATCAATCCCCGTGTGTGCTTTTACACGAGGTTTTGTACAACGTCTGTCGCAAACGTGATCACTCCAGAAATCCACTATACATAATTGTATCATATGCATAGTACGGTAGTTGGTTCTTCGTCGGGCATCGCACGAAGATCTATCGACAATTTTCTACCTGCAATGACCAGAGTACGGTCAATATTGCCTCCCCCCTTGTTGTCTTGCTCCGAAGAATAACTTCTTGCACAGCCGCTGGGGAGAGTTGTTGCAGGCATGGCTTGTTACGCATACACCCAACCAAGCGCATGAATAGCCTGGAACGGAAGACGACCGCCACCCTATGCATACAGCAGTTTACGGAGCAGCAAAACGTAGCGAGGGCAGTCCCCGCTTTTAGGGGATGAATGTGCACAGAGGGTAAATCATACGCCCAATCCTACATATATATGAAGTGCTTGAACCCTAAACCTGACACTTGATGTCCACGTACATCACCCCCGAGCAACCCCCCCCCCCCCCCCTATTCAAAACCAGCCCGCTAAAAAAAGTGCGTCTCAGCATTCATTGGAAGTAAAGATACACATGACACTATGTAGTAACGGCCCTGTTCGCTAAAATCTCGCTGAACATCTCGCTAACATCTCGCTAACATCTCTTCTATCTATCGCACGCAAAGATGAGCCCAAAAACACACACAAAGCTATACACATCCCACCAATCATGAAGCTTGCTGTCTCAAGACTAACCACATCAGCTTGCCAACCGAACACCAATCAGTTACAGGATAAGCCTGACAAACTACACGCCCATCAGCTTCAAGAGCTCGCTTGCGCGCACTTGGGTGCTCCCTTCGTCTCCCAGCTCTGGGTAGACGCCGAGAGACCCCGCAAAATCCTGCGGGGGAGGGGGGAGGGGGGAACGTACCAAAACGCGCGGCAGGCATATGTATTAAAGGGAGGGAGGTGTACCAACACATGAAAAAATTACCTGCTGTCCCCTCCGTGCCAAGAGCGGACGCCACGAACGGCTGTCAAACCGATCAGTACAGATTTTCTCAGGGGGCGGGGTGGGACCGAAGACGGTTCCTTTCCTCCAGGTCCGTCAGCTGCGTGGTATCGGGACCATCGGGTTCATTCGAAGACCCGCCACTCTCCTTCGCAATCGGTTTCCAAGCCTTATCAACTCTACAACGAAAAACCTGGGAGCACAAATCGGGGTTGCGGCAAGGTACTATATTCTTGGCTGCATGCGACTGCGCCACACATACCACGCTCCACATATCAAAAGTCCCTGGTCAGAGGTGCTGATGGCATAGAGAAAATTTCCAATTGCTGTTAATCGCTTGGTTCTCTCTGCCAGAGAACAACGTCTCCCCATGTTCACAGGCCTACAAGAACATGCACCGCAGCTATGAGACTGACATCAGCGTACGCAAGGGTCATAGGCTACTACCGTGCAGATACACACATGTACAGCAGCACATGTGTCTCGCCTGGCTCTCGGTGCTGCCGGTGTAGGTGATGACGCAGTTCATCTTCGCGCCTAGCGCCGCCTCGAGGCCGATGAGGCTGTCCTCGATCACCATACACCTGTTGTCGTTGTGTCGCGAGGCGTTGCCGCAAAAGCCAAATATTCTTACCAGGAGGTACAATACACCGAAAAAGTGCAGCACTGGCGCATTTTGCATTCTGCTTCGGAGGAGCGGTGAATCACTCTTCTCTGCTCTCCGGATCCCCGGTTTTTCCGTACGTTGGCTGGTGTGTGCCGTACTCCACTGGAAAGACAAGGTAGCAGCCGCCCTCCGTGTCTAAAGCATCCTCGGGACTGCCGACGCAAAGAAATTAAGTTTATAACGAAAAAGCTCTACGCAGGGGGCACGCAGACCCTAAAACCCTAACCCTAACCCCAGGTTAGCCGATTCTATGTTCTACCCGATGTGTTTGCTAACATTGAAACACCTGCGTCGACTACTGGCATCTCGCAACCCACCACCCTACTAAGCCACCGCGAACAGAGAAGAAGGGCCTGCACTGCTGCTGTGTGAGAGCGGGGGCTGGTTCCTCGAGTTCGTGCAGGGATGTACCGCCACCACCACCCCTCCCCCCCTCCCCTCGTTCTTTGTTACCTTTTCAAAGTGCGGCTAAACAGCAAAACCTTCAGTATCACAGTCAAAAACACCCCTATAATTGGTAGGCTTCACTGCTGTACCGTACGCAATCCTATACCCCCCCCCGTTCTGTCGGTTTTGGCGTCAAAATCTATCAACGTTTGGAACAGCAGTGCATACAGGTGTGCACTTGAAGCCCCCTCGCCGTATACCCATGGCGTCGACCGCTGCATTTGTGTATGCTGCAGCACTATATACATGCCGTCGACCGCTACATTTGTGTGCGCTCTCCAGCATTATACACATGCCGTCGACCGCTTCATTTGCGCGTGTGCTCTGCAACGTTCAAACGAGTCCCGCCCGTGCCCCACCCACCTCTCCGGCGGCACGCCGAGCTTTTCGCTCGCGAGCGCGTAGATCATCGGGTCCGGCTTCCTTCGGGGAACGTCGTCGCCGGCGAGGACCAGGTCGAACTTGCTGAGGTTCTCCTCTCCCAGCAGGTTGTCGAGGACGAAGAGGCAGGCGTCCTTTGTCGAGGCCGAGCAGATGGCCATCTTCCCTCCCTGTTGCATGTGCGTGCGTGCTTGTGTTCATATTACAGCAGTGGGGGTCCCCGAGTAGAGGGTGAAATTGGCTGGAATAGAACGAACAATCAACTTTTCTACGCATTGAATAAGGCGGCTGCCCCACACAAGGCGGTTCTTGCGTCGCCTTATTTGGGGGGGGGGGGCACTGTACTAGCATCGACCGCGGCTAACCGGCTGACCAATGCAAAGACGCCAGTCTCAGCATGGTCGAAAACAAAAAAATACTTCTTCTAAAGGCCACCATGATCTGGGACCACGTACTTGTGTGTGTTTTATTATTAGCATCGACCGCGGCTAACCGGCTGACCAATGAAAAGACGCCAGTCTTAGTGCGCTTGAAAACACAAAACAGTTCCAAATGCCATTAACTGGGACCCCGTGAGGGGGCGGCATGGGGGAGATTAATCCATTCTCCGGATCAACAAAGATAGAAACGGTAGCAACAGAAGAAAACTGCACACGTTTGTATGTGTGTGTGTTTCTTTGACTAGCATCGGCCGCGCTTTTAGTCGGCTGACCAATGGGTAGACGTCACTCTTAACATGGAGATATAGAACGCGAAGACGCTTGCTTTCAATTCAGCGTGTGTGCTCACGCGTGGTTGTGCACACCACGCGTTGCTAACCTGTTCGTTGGGATCGGGACTACAGCCACAGCACAGCAGCGGGCACCAGAAACCATCAGCACAATTGGTGCCGCAGACTGCTACGACCCCTACGACCCCTTCGGAAAAACGGCACAACAGGAAAAACTTCGGGCGACCGATAGAGATACACCTGTTGGGCAGTTACACAGAAAATGTTGAACTTCAAAACACGAGCAAGCGAGGGGGTGACGCGGCGTTAACCACTTAGCGCTGCTGCGGGGGAGGGAGGGGGGGGAGGGGGGGGCGCCGCCGCACAGAGGCTAATGGTGTACTGCTTTGCGGAACGCGTCCCGGTCGCGACCTTAGCGTGACACACACGGGCCTGCAAGTACGAAACGAGGGCGTTTAACACCATCGGCAGACGCGCCCGCGCGCTATTTAGGTGCATAGGCGCTTCTCGTACGCTGCCGCCCGCTCACCGAGATCGCCTTGGTCTCGTCGATCAGCCGCTGGACCCCCGGTCGTAGCACCGCCGTGCCGTTTGCTACGAACTCTTTGTAGATGTCCGTCTTGCGGTCCTTGTTTCCCCACCCCCCCAAAATAAATAGAAACAGACGCAGGCATGAGAGGCGAGAGAGAGAGAGAGAGAGAGAGAGAGAGAGAGAGAGAGAGAGAGAGAGACGAGGAGAGATGAAGGAAAGACGAGAGAGGAACGAAGGAGCAAGTGCGGAGCAGTGGCCAAGCCGTTGCTCAGCCAGTCGAGGAAATACACACACAACTTCACGGGGTGCCAGATAATGGGCTTCGCGTATTCCGTTCTTATTCGCACTGAGACTGACTTCTCTCATTGGTCAGCCGGTTACCGCGGCCAATGCAAGCAACAAGGATGGTAAAAAAACACACTCAAACACTTGGTTGAACCTCATCCGCTGCCCCCCCTTGCCGGAGGAGTCCACTGGCTTCAAAGGGTGTTCGCTTTGTCTCTCCGCTAATAGGACTGGCGTCTTCATGTTGGTCAACCGATATTGCGGTCGATGGTATTTAGAGTAGCGCCCACGCACATAGACTACTCCCACATATCGGGGCCCAGAATACGTCGCACGCAGAGAGTTGATGGGGGGGACCCCAAGTCGAAAGGACACCTTTTATGGTGAGTTATAGTCATTCGCGTGCTGATGACCCAATACCTCACTGTCGCGGTGCACGAGGTGGGACACGTTTCGCAAAGCCTTGCGCATAGAATAAGCAAGTGGTCTCTACACGCGTTTGTGGTGCCCCCTGCATAGTTGGGCCCTCTCAGCATAACTGACGGTACGGATATGCTGCTCAGTGGACGAGAGTATACCTGCAACGAGTCAATGAGCAGGTCCTTCTCTTGATCCGTCTCGGGGGGGGCTCCCAGTTTGGACTTTGGCCAGCCGTTCTCGCCGAAGTAGTAACGCATCTTGGGCTTGCCGCCTCCAACCTTTGGTGCCACATACAGCATGCTGTGGGTACGATGCCGCATCATGGACGGATTGGCCCTTCCGCTGGCGTGTGCGCATTGTATCTATAGTACACTAATACACTTGTCTACTGCTGTTGTGCAGCTTTTGGCTCTTAGACATGGAAGCTTCAATACTATGTAGACTGCTGCTGTCTATATGTACACCAGTGCGACATCTTTTCAATCTCCTGGTATACGCGTGTCCATCAGCTCATACTTTGTAAGCAAGTGCCCACACGGCAGTAGCGGATCATCGCACTGCTGCCCGCGGTTGAACCATCACACGCATAGCACAGCGCACTTGAACAGGCAGTACGCATCATTTGGCGGTATCGATCGGCCCGTCAACCAGAGCTATCCATAGCTGCTGTGTTCGGGCCGACTACAACTTCGTATAGAAAAACATGCCCGTTCAGCAGTATACATTGTAGTACCTTGTTCTGGAGCTCATCGTAGTACTCGGGGCTCCATTCGTAATCCACGGCGAACTCTCGAAACACGGCATTGTAAGCTTCTCTGTGCAGCGACTCCGACTGACAGCACGTAAACAACCGGCACACACACACGCGCGACATGGAAGGTGTGTATCTATGTGGGGATCTGTTTACATTGCTAGCGTACTATTTGGGGATCATGTTTATCCTACAAATACATACAGTCTAGAGAACATCAGTCGAGGGTACAATAAAATATGCAAACTCTGCCAGATACTCCATGATATCATCGAACAACCACACCGTCGTTCATGTACGTTGAATGATACCCAAAACGATCGATGTACATACTCGGACGGATATAGCAGAGCTGGACGAACCTCGAGTATGACACCGTCGCAGTCGAAGATGACCGCCCACTCAGGCGGCGATGATGATCCCGACTGCAGCGGCCTGCTGACGGCGGAAGTCCTAGCCCTTCGAGGTGCGGAGCCATCGCGCGACGAGGAGGTGGAGAGGATAGGTGCAACAAAGCCCTGAGAAAACACGGGTGCAACGACGGCAAACGTGAAGACAAGTCTCCACATTCTCTCTATGCGCTCGAACACACCGGACGTGGTAGCTAGAGGAGATGCCAGCGGCAGCTTGTCACACTGCTTGTGGTCGTGTAGTAAATACAACAACAGCAGGTCAGCAGTCCACGTTGGTACACGTCACAGCCCACCTGCACGGGGGGTGAGGTACTCCCAATTGCGAGCCCCCGGAGGCGTTTGATCGATCTCCGACTTTTGTCGTTGGAGCTGTTGCGAGGAGACGCTGACAGAGAGCGAGATCAACACACACTGCTGTGCTGCATGATAGCACGAGATGCAGCGACTTCGGCGCTCTACGTCAACGTCGTCAACGTCGTCACAACCTCCAGCGCGCCAGGTTTCAGGGAGAAGACTCGAACGCAAGGGCAGTTCGAACTTAAATTCCGCAACAAGCTCCCGCCCGTCGTGGAGGTAGGTACCAAGAGCCCGCGGGCAGAAAGCGAGAACCAGTGACTGTTTTCCCGCTCTCCCTGCCATGCGTCTGCTGGTGGTACCGCCCACTGCAAGCCGTTCCTCACCACACGTGTCGTCGTCGTTGTCGTCTGTGCTCTATCTGCGAAACACGAAGGCGGCGGCTGCGGCGGAATTGGCGAGGAGCGGCGTTTGCCTGCGGGTGCGCGTCCTTCGCTCTCCTGTCTGTCCCGCGAGGCCACCGCCAACAACCCGCGGTGAGCACCCCCGACACAGCAGCACCGCCCTGGTAGAGAGTAGACCGTTGGTTCGAAGGTCGTGGTGCCATTCAACGGAGATGGCAAGCGTAGTCGTGTCCTCCTACTTGCTGTGATGGTGAGGTTGATTTTGTTCCCGCAGCGACACAGAAGAACCGCTCACAGCTATAGCCCCACAGCGCAGGCCAAGGACTGCTGTCTGTTAACAAATAAACGCCGTCAAGGCTCGCGCCATTTGTAATCACAGGCTTCAGCGAACGTAACATACCTCAACGCTACTGCTGTAGGTAGCATAGCGGAGCACACTTTCCCAGTGTAGGAACGGGGACCTGTTCTTTGTTGGACGAAAGTTTCTTACGGTCGCGAGCTGAAGCAAGACTGCGTTCTGTCTCCTCGATGGTTGATCTTGGAGCAGTGCGTACACTCTTCCAAGGTCTTCCAAGCGCCACATTCACCTCGCGACACAGACATTTTCGCATATATGTAACGATTTCTACGTCAGTTGTCTTTCCGCTCAGCTTGCAGCAAGTTTTCCCCGTTTCCGTGCGGACTGACTGCTCACAGGCCAGCAGTTCGATTATTCCTTAAATTTTTAGAGCCTCGATGTTTGTAGCCCTCTGAAAGGCCTGCCTACGTTGCCCATCCACCATTCCTTTTACCTTACAGAATGCGTTTGATTCTCCCGCTGATTTCTCCGCATTGTATGAATGCGTGTGGTAACTGAGTTCCAATTCTTCTCTCTCTCTCTCTCTCTCTCTCTCTCGTTCTTGTATGCTCTCCCCCGCCTGGCGCACACACTCTCTCCACAGCCGCTCTGCCGCGCCAGCAATCACTTTCGTGATGCCGTCGGGGTGTATGTTACTATGTACACAGACAGCAGCAGCAGCAGCAGCAGTTTTTTTTTTTTTCTTGACGTCCCCTCCTGGACATTCCTCACGCACACACCTTTCGGCATGTTTTCTGGCCGCACCGGCCACATAGCACCCACATCGGCGTGTAGAGGGGAGACGAGGGCTCAGACCATCTGTCGTTGATTTCAATTGGCTTGCGGACCCTTCGGGTTGATTTAATGGCCCCCAGAACAGCGAGTTCGATGTTGACTAATTTTGAAAACATGCGCAAGAAGCACCAGAAACTGTACAACAGACACACAAGACCAGTCGGAAGGCATCGCAAAAAACAGAAATCGTTAAATCCCGCACAGGGCGACAGTAGAGGCTGCTAAAAACATACATTTCACACGTCTACCTCCGCACGCCCCCTTTGAAATCAAGATAAAAATTCGCCCTATTCTAATTTCAAGTCAAAAGAGCCAAAACGGCAGGCGTTCAAATAAGGTCTGTGTTGACATGTACCTGGTAATTAGTACTGTTTTCAGTAGAGGACAGCATGAAGAGGCTTCGTGCGTGCTGGCACGTTCAGGTTTGCTACTGGAGCTGAAATATCGAAGGTTGCAGCAATCTCTGAAAACAGTCCGAAATCTGCGCCGGAACCAAGCGGCATCCAACATTTGTCACAGCCGTGCTCACCGCCACGGACCCCAATCTCCTGAACTGTGCGTTTACAGCAGTAGTTCATTCCACGAGCTACTGCGGACAACCCTCCGTTGAGGGGTTTACGGTCCGTGGCGGTGTGCACGGCTGTGACAAATGTTGGATGCCGCTAGGTTCCGGCGCAGAGTTCGGACTGTTTTCAGAGGTTGCTGCGACCTTCGATATATCAACTCCAGTAGCAAACCTGAACGTGCCAGCACGCACGAAGCCTCTTCATGGTGTCCTCTACTGATAACAGTACTAATTACCAGTTACACTCTGCGTGAAGGTTGTTTTGTTTCTTATGTTGGATTAAAGAATGAGAAAAGAGCCAGCGTCAAAACCCCTGTTCTGGGGGCCCTTAAGTTTTACACCGTTGATTTTTAGCGTAGGTTAGCATGCCACCACGGGAATCGACCGGTCAACTGATGTGATATTGACTCGAAGAGCCCATCGAACACCAACGAACCAAAAAGAAAAACTCATAAATCTGTTTGCAGTCTTGTAGCTCGGCACAGTAGGATTTCGTCACGATTCCAACCAGTTGACCATACGTTGAACCCGCGGGTGGTCGGCGGGAAACGATTGCTCCAGGATTCTCTGATTGGTCGATGCGCTTTGTTTTTCGTAAAAACCTACAACTGCTGACGGGACGTGTGTTCAGTCGGTCTTTTAGACTAAGGGTGAAGCGGTTTGATTGCTGCTCTGAATAGGTCGAAACCCTGCTGGAAAGCAGGCGATTGGCTCCCCGAACAGCAGTCTCCTACTTGGTAACGACCTGTAACGAAACTGTTGTTTTCCTATCCCCCCCCCGCCCCCTTTTCCATCGTGCGCCTGCGTCTACCGGCCAACCTTCCGCGGCAGCGGACATCGTCCATCTTTAAGCCGAGCCACCGGCAGCGAGAGAGCTGCCGCGATGAGATCGACTGGCCCGAGCTGCCGCATGGCGTTGACATAGACCTGCACGTCGTCGCCCGCGGAAACACGCACAACCTCCGCACCACGCTCACGTCGTTGGCAGAGGCCTGCTACCCCGAGGTGAACGCGTTTAGATGGGTACAGCAGTAGCTATCCTGGGGCATTGGAAGTGGGCTGGAAAGGGCGGGAAGTGACACCGATAGGAGAACGTTTTGTGCCACCTTCGGCAAAAATCGCGATTGGTAATCGGTGATCGGTCCTGTGGGAACAATGCCCCGTCTTCTCGAGGACCGTGGTCAATTGCCTTACCGCTAAGGCATGCAAAAAAACATGAGAGTACGCCCCCCCTCCCCCCCCCCCGGTATGATGACCAGCACCTGAGAAACATAGCCTGGGCCGGCGAAATCCCGCATGTCACACCGTCTCGATGTTGTAGGAATGCGAGGTCTACGGTCTAACGACTACAGCATGCATTTAAATGAGTACACACACACACACACACTGGAGTTCCTCAGGTTGCGTAGGATACCACACACCCGGGACCGTTTTTTTCAAAAGGTTGATTGCTCGACACGACGAGGAGGATGCCACGGTCTAACGAGGCTGTCGTCTACACGTATTGTCCAATGCCGCGTTTGTCGACACACCTTGGCTGTTTTTTTGTTTCAGCCGAGCGACCGAGCTTTGAGAAGTCGGTCAGGTGTGTGCGGTGTCCTAACGTAGCCTACGGTACAGAACAACGTTGCGCTTGAGCGCCTCGCGCGCGCCTCGATAGTGGCGACGACGACTCTCTCACGTCTGCCGTGCGCATGTACCCGCTGTTGAGCTCGTGATGATGTAGCCGCGGTCGGCTGTGTGGTGGGCCGTGATGGTATCGCACCTTTGCCGGGGCGGTGTAGTTGATACACCGGGGCCCCTTACCCAGGTGTCCTCCCACTCTATATTCTTCATTACTTTTTTGCGGCAGCGGCTCTCTATCGACTCCCCCCCCCCCCCCCCCCCCCGAACCCAGGGCGCCGAGCTCGCGCTTCACGTCTGGGCGCTCACGGCGCACGCGCGGGAGGTGATGCCGGCCCAGGACGGCTTCGTGTGGACGCACGGCACGTACCAGTTCCACACGCTCACGACGAAGCACGGCGAGGTGCCTCCGCTGGAAGGGTGGGCGAGAATGTGGACGGACCCAATAGACACGGAGGTGAGGGAAGATGGCGGTCGTGTTGACGCCGGGGGGGGGGGGGCGTACTCTTCTGTTTTGCATGCCTTGGCGAAGTTAGACCATTGACCACGCATCCTCGAGAGGACGGAGCGTTGTTTGCCGATGGCCAATCGTTCCTTCTTATTTTGCCAAAGTAGCACCGGGGGAAGGGGGGGTAGCCTAGCATGCCGCCGTGGTCGTTAGACCATGTGCCTCGCATCCCTACAGAACGGGGACGGAGCACGCCGGGTTTTCACCGCACCAGGCTAAATAGCACATCGCCAAGCGCGAAGTGCCGTTGGGGCTGGTGGACTCATATAAACGCATGCCGTAGTCGTTAGGCCATCGGCCTCGCGGCCGGGACGGGGCGATATAGGGAGGGGCCTATGGCGCTTGTTCTTAACCGTGCGTGCAACAACGCTGCTTGCGGGGGGGGCACTTCTACTGCTGTTCTTTCCTTTTGGTTTTGTTTTGCGACGCTACGGTACAGCGAACACTCGCCGTAGGTCCGAAGTGTACGAAAACGAATCTTGCTCGGCATACGCTTGTACGGCTCTCGACAAGCTCTCGGTTTTCGGCCGGAAAAACACGTGGTCTTGTCCTTTGCCTCGACCGTGCAAATTCGCGGTGTGTGTTGCTTGGCTGCTTTCTGTCTTGGGGAGGAACGGCATCGAATCGCCCGCCCGGCGCGAACTCGACAAGACCACAACAACAAGCGCCACCCCAACCCGCACGAAGACAGACCACACGGCTCGTGCTCACCCACGCCTTCATATCACCTATGCATCACCCGCCCATTCTTCCGGCCACCGCCGCCGCCGCCGTGCCGCCTTTTGTCGGGTAGGTTCGGTTGGTGCTGCCGGAGGGGCTGGAGCTGTCGAGCCTGTTCTACTTTTGGCTGTCGAGCACGCTGGCGAGGTACCTGGGCGCAGAGGTGACGATGGAGGAGCGCGAGATCTTCCGAGATAACGTGTTCGGGTTGTCCCTTTCGGCGACCGGTCTGTCGGAGGTGAGACAGGGGAGACAGAGAGAAAGGGAGGGAGACAGACAGAGAGGGAGAGAGAGAGACAGAGACAGAGACAGAGATAGAGAGGGGGGTAGACAACCTCGCTCGACTGTTCGATCAGATCAGAATATTAATATTTGTTGCTCGAGAGAAATCTAAATTTGCGGATTTTATTTTTGTTATTAGTGTGCGCAAGTTTAGGTCCCCGACATGATGTTTCCATGTTAAACCGTTGTTGGGGACGGTGTGTGTGTGCTGACCGCTGCTGTTGTTGCTACTGTTGTGTGGTGCTTTTGATGTTATTGGGGTGTTTTTTTTTTGCTGTCAGGACGATGCATGCAAAGCACCGCAGTGGGTGATGTCGGAAAGCCCTCTCGTTGTCATTCAATTGCCCCGCAGAAAGACCAGGGATGTACAGGGCTGTGTGTGTGTATGGGGGGGGTTCCTTGGGTCGGCACGGCGGGAGCGCGGATCAGTAAGTAGGCGAGAAGGAGGTAGTGCTTGTCCCCGTCGCCTCAGCCAAAAGCCTTCCCCACTCAAAAGAAGAAAACAGCAGCAGTGGTTCGTTCGCGCTGCTGCTGCTGCTGCTGCTGCTGCTGTTGCGGCTTCGGCTGCCTGCACCACCTGCCGCCGGTTTGCCCGATTTTTTTGTCCGATGTTTGGTGGTGGTCGTGGTGGTGGCACACACACAGTTCATGGCCTTTAGAAGTGTTTCGTGTAGTCAACCGCACTGAGACTGTCGTCTTTTCGTTGGTCAGCCGGTTAGCGCGGTCGATGCTAATAATAAAAAAAACACACACACGCATACACGTAACACAAACACACATTTCATTGGTCAGCCGATTGGCGCGGTCGATGCTACTACTAAAAGACACACACAAAAATTTTCTGTTTTCAACCGCTCTAGGATTGACGTATTTTCACTGGTCAGCCGGTCAGCGCGGTATGCTAACAACTGTAAAACACCCCCCCAAAAACGCCCACACAGGTTTCCGGCAAGCCCTCGTCGTGGGGAGCGTACGAGGCCGCCGACAAGAAACGGCCTGTGTTCCACACCCTCCCCGGGGCCAGAGGGACCGCCTTCTTTGGCTGGAAGGTAAGGGGGGTTGGGGGGGGGGGGGGGGCCGTCTCAAACCGCGCTACACGCCCTGCCCTCCCCGGCCAAACCCCATACCTAAATTGGGCGTCTATAACCGTGCTCGGCGGTAGACCGTAAGGTCATGGATTGTGGAAGAGCTCGTTAATTCTCAATATCGATTCGGTGGATTTTCTATTCAGAGACATTGTCATCATGTGATTGCTTTTGGAAATTAGGGTCAAATGCATGTGCAGAAAGCACTGTTAAGATGGTTGACTCGAAAATTATCTTGCAGGCGGGGGAAGAGAGCTGTCGACGACGGAAGAGCGTCATCATTTCAGAATTTTACCAGGTGTTGGAGGATTAGGAGAGGGCCTACTTTAGCTGAAGCATATCGAGCATTACGCACAGTGAATGTTACACGTAAAACTCGCCTAATATCTCGGATGATGGGCAGCAGCAACCGTGTTTAGTAGA